AGGTTTTACCGAATTACTATAGCGTGTTAACCTGTAGCTCGCGGGCACGTTCGTCGCGGAGCATCTCCTTCAGGAGCTGAAAACTGCCAGCTTGCGGGACCGAGGGCAAAGGAGGAGAACCCATCGTGCGGAGCTTGTTGACGCGACGTCTCGTCGACGGGGAATAAGGATTGATCGTACCATAAAAAGCTGGAATTTTCTCGAGCGGCCGCAACGAGTGTCGCATTCCGTTCCTGAATCTGCTTCCGGCTGGCGCCTTGTGCACCATTCTTCCGTAAATCGGAGCGCTTCCTCCTGCGCGATTTCGTGCCCTTCCTGCGAAACAACACTTTTTCTCACGAACAACGCCGTACACCGTTAGAGGTAAGAGGAACACTTTTCGAAATGCTCGCCGATCCTTGGATCGAACCGAAACTCCTTGTTAGATCGAGATCGAGAGAATTTAAATATGTATATTTTCAAGCGAGAAAAAAGCTACAAGATTTCCAAACTAACGGAAAATCGTTTCTCGGCGAAAGTTAGAAAGGTGACGAAGAGACGCGGCGACGAAAAGGTGGAATCGTTTCGAAATGGCGGAAATGTCGATTTCGCGCGGTTAAGGGTACGCGAAGGACTCTGCTCGACCGGAACCGATCTTACCTCGATAGTTGAGGGGAGGCTTGGCGCTTTCGGGGTAAGGCTTCCACATATCGTAAGAGAACGGATCGGGATAAAAGGAGTATCCGGTGGTCTTAGCGGCTCTACTCTGCCGTTTGGTGTACCTCCACATTGCCCTCAATTCCTCGCACGTCGGTTCGGACAGGTCAACGCGCTTCTCGCCAATCTCGCCGGTATTTCCCGACTGTGTCGAGATCGGATCGATGTATCGTGTACCGGCCACTAACGGGCTGCTCGAGTACGCTAATACGAAAGCGGTCCATACGGCAACGGTATGCATTTTCTGTTCAACAGACGTAACAACGATGTCGATTAACAAAGCCAGGACAAGGAGGGAAGGCGAGGCGACAGAAAGAAAGAAAGAAAGAAAGAAAGAAAGAAACAGCTTTAAGGGCTAGTCTAATTGTCCGGGGTAGAGTTTGTGTTTTTCACTTATCCGATCGAACGTATCGTCGAGTAGAGTAGAGTAGAGTGGAACCGATCTCGAGTTGTTCTCTTGCGATTAATCGGATCGTCTTCTAATTTCGCAAAGTCGATTCGATCGAAGAGAAATTCTTTCCTTCCAACGCAAAGAATAGATATAGACGTTTGCGAGCGACAACCATATGGTGCAGAATCCTCCAGAATCGTCGACGTCTAACGTCGGTCGTTCTTCCCCTGCTACGAATTCGCGTTTTCGATCGACGCACGCTTCGACGGACGCACACCTGACCAATTTCAGTTTCGCGATTCGCTCTAATTTCTTTTTGGAAACGGCGAAATTTCACTTTTGGAATCTAACGATACAAGCTATAAACTATAAACTATAAACTATAAACTATAAACTATAAACTATAAACGAATAAAATAATGACATCGACGACGATGCGTTGGCGAATAAACGATTCGATTTTGCGATTATGGCTATTTCCGGGGACCTGGATGCATCGAATTCAATGATTCTCGAGATTCGAACCAAAGATTTCGGTCTTCTTTCCATCTCCCGTGTATCTCGATTGCTGGATTAATCTGTTTTATGACTCGACACCTTTTATATTTCCCATTTTGCCATTAGTCGATTCGACGGCGCGGTGGACTCGCGCTACCCTCGACCTTTAATTCTAAGATACGGACAACCCATCCATCCGTATCGAAACTTCGATATTCGATATAAAAGAAACCGTTCATCCCGCGAATGTTCGTCTTGCACGTTGATCTTGAATTTTGATTTTCGATTTTCGATTTACGATTTTCGCGCGAGCACCGAGATCGAGTCGTTCTTTAAACTTGTTCGCCTGGTTATCGTAACAGGTTGAAGCGCGAACGAAACCTTTGATTTATCGTTAACGTTTTTCGAGTAAATCTCGAGCTGTTCTCCTCGGAACAGACTCCTCCGGATCGTTCATTGTTTGTCCAAAGCTCGATTTTATGGTATTATTCCTTTCGATACGCTGTAAGCGACCCGTTCCTTGTCGTTTCGCATTGAAACGTCTTCGATGTTTCGATGTTTCGATGTTTTCGATCGTTTTGTTCCGTTGTCGGGAAATGTAGAATATTTTGAAAAATCATTGACGAGGAATTTAGCGGCGAGGAAAATGAACGATGGCGTAAAAGAGTTGGCTTGCGCGCTACAAGGAGGGAGACTGTGTGAACGAGACGACCGGAGGGAGAGAACGGAATTCGAAAGAGTTTTCGATGGAAGGGAAACTCTTCCGAACTCGCGCGAATCGGAAAAATCGGAAAGATCGGGAAAATTGGAGAAATCGGAGAAATTGGAGAAATCGGAGAAATCGGAGAAATCGGAGAAATCGGAGAAATCGGAAAGATCGGAAAGATCGGGAGGATCGGATGAATTGGTCAAGTCGGAGGAATCGGTGAAAAATCGGATAAATCGGATAAATCGCAGAGGCAGCGAGGTTGGCAAAGAACGAGTCGCATGAATGAAGCCAGAGGACACACGGGGTGAAACACACGAGCGAGCAGCAGGCGATAGAGAAAGAGCGAAACGCTCTCGGTGAGGGTGCCAACGAAGGAAGGAGGTCAAGAGTGGAACGAGGAGAAACTGGTGA